GGCCACACCTTTTTTTTTTTTTTTTTTGACAAAAACACAAGCTCCATCTATTGGTGGGGAGCAACACCTGCTGGAAACCGGGTCCAGCGTCCCATAGATACAACCATATCCTCACAAAATTGGCACAAACTGGGAACCGGGCCCAGCGTCCCATAACGAGCACATTCAGAAAAGTCATCAGAAAATTCCATGAAAATGAGACTAAGAACCTACTAAGAATTTTAGAGCTTCTCCGTTTGGACTAGGCAAGATCAGCAGTTCTCGAAACAGGGCAAAAAAAGCCGCTGCTAAATCTGCATTCCCACCACTTCAGAAAAAACGGCCGCAGTTTCTTTTTTTTTTTTTTTTACCCCCCGCTAAACTTGCACATTCTGAAACTCAAACAATGACATCCGTGCCACTTTGTCTTTTCTTGGCTTTTTCAAACTCAAAAGGTAACTCAGGAGCAGTTTCCCCCATTTTTTTTCTATATAAGACTCGGCCGACACTCGTAGCTCAGGTGATAAGAGCATCCCCAACTACCACCGCCCGTACAGGTCACTCCATCTAATGGTGGGGAGCTTCACCTGCTGGAAAGCGGGTCCAGCGTCCCTTTGACATTGATTTGGTCTTGAACAGTAAAAATTTGAGGAAAGGGATGTAGCCTCCTCACCCCCATAGGGAGAGCCATATTCTGCTCTTCCTAGCTCTCTCTTTCCCCATCGACTTGTGACTCATTGAAGCCGTACCAAGATAAAGGAACAAGTGGAAGTGGAAAAGGGTTGGGGAATTCACGCATTGGGTGGACTCCGAGGGGGACTGAGGGGTCAACTCCTGTCCACTCATTGAAGCACAGCTTGTACTAATCCCCAATGACCTCCTTCCCTTCATAACTCTCCTCACTGTCCCAAATCACTCACCTAATCTTCCCACCCTTTTCCCCTCCTAGCCAGTCGCTGCTGAGTGATTGGATTGATTTGATAATATCTTTTTCCGAATGGTTGTGTTGCATTTTTTCTCTCCTTTTCTCCCATGGTGTTGAGATGTCAACCTGAATTTGTTGTTTATACCTTCTGTGAGTTATGGGCCATCAAGTTTGGCTCCTTCCTGTTCGTTTGTGAATCTCATTTGCCATATGGCCCATAAGATAGCTCACCTTCCCAGTATGAATACGTTGTGTGTGAAGTTGCTGGCCTGGTCGGGGGACCAAATTTGTAACAGACTAAGTCTTACTTTCCATCCCCAAGGCCATTGTGTCATGGTTTCCACCTGATCCCTAAATTAATGTCGTCTCACCATCTCTATAGTCAGACCGCGCCTGGGCAGACCAGAAATATACGCTCAATGATTTATGGGAACTTTCTACTGGATAAGGCAGACGCATAGTTTACACCAGGGTTCTGCTTGAATGTCTTTTCTTCGCCAATGAGGTCCTGTCTATGAGCATGTCATTTGTTGGAAGACAACAGTATTCTATCTGCCACTGGAGTGAGGCTATCGTGGAGGGTTTTGATCTTACCACGCTGAAGTGACAGAACCATTTTACCTGGATTAAGTCCTCCTTACTTATGTTCAGTTGCTGCATCCATCTTGCCTCCTATTACTTTTAGCATCCTATCTGTCAGTGTCATTGCCACCATCTTATATACCACTGTGAGGAGAGGTATGGGTCTATAGTTCCTGATGTTCTATTTATCTCCCTTCTTGTACAAGAGGGTAAGAATACCTTGGTTTACTATCCCGCCCATGTCCCCTGAGTTTTTTTTTTTTTTTTTTTTTTTTTTTTTTTTTTT